GGGGGGGGGGGAGAAGAAAGAAACAAACATAACAATTCCTGTGACTGGTTTTAATGTAAGAAGTCACCTTATTAAGGGGGTCTGGAACCAAACCTTCAATATCTCTGAGATTTGTCTGTGTGTTTTAAAAGTACCTAAAGACAAATTAATAAGCATAAGAGCATTATATTATATTTTTTAAAGACTCCTTAAGAATAGAAAAGGAACCTAAATGTCATTTCCACCCCTAAAGTTTCTCAAATATTACAATAAAAACCTTTGTCCATTTCAGGATGAAAAGGTGACAGTGGCACAAAAGGGCATTCCTAGAACTCCTTCCCACATCACAGTTATACCAACAACTATAACAAGGTTTGGAAACCCCTCATCCAACTCTAGAATGAAACCAACTCTGGATAACAGTGCAGATAAGTTAATTTGCCAGCCTGAAAAATGTTACTTGGGACAAGGAAGCTTCATAGAGATTTGGAGAAAAACAAGTTAGCAACTAACACATGTTAACAGTCATGGAGGGATCTAAATGGAGGAAGCCAAACAAAGGAGAGACCACATACTGCAGAATTCTGACTATATGCCAAAAAAGGCAAATTTATATAGAGAGAAAGCAGATTAGTGGCTACCTAGAGCTGGGTCTGGGGATTACTCTAAATGGACATGTGGGATTACTACTGAAGAAATCAATATGTTTTAAAACTGATTTATAAAGATGATGTCACCATTTGGTAAAATTACTAAAATCACTGAGTTGTACACTTGAAGTGAGTAAAGTTATGCTATACAAAATATACCTCGATAAAACTTTATTAAAAGAAAAACTAGTTAGCAAAGTTATTCCTAGTAAAGGATCTATAAGGATGACCTTGCAGTAGACTCTCTCACCGCTGGTAGAGAGAGGAAAGAGCTACTCTGGGGTCTTCTGCAGTCAAACCGACCTTGAATTTAATGTTAACTTCACTATCTACTATGTATACATAACCAACTACTAACAGGAGCCCTGGTAGCACAGTAGTTGAACCACTCACCTGCTAACCAACAGGTCAGTAGTTGGAACCCATCAAATACTGCAGGATAAAGATGCCGCAGCCTGCTTCTATAAAGACTTACATCCTTCGAAATCCTATGAGGAAGTTCTACTCTGCCCCATAAGGTTGCTATGAGTTAAAATCAACTCATCGACAATAGATTATAAGCACTAACAGGGTAAGACTCATACGTGAAATCCCTATAATAATCCCTTGCTTATGAGACTGCTATACAGATGTTGCTGGCTCATCTATTCTATTACAATTAATAAAATTCGTGGAGTTATTAAAACTTCTCTGGTCTATACTGCCATAGTCACCTATAAAGCTTGAAAAGTAATTATGCTCATGAGATTTAAAATGAATATGGCATGCAAATTTAAAACATTTCCATGAATAAAAATATAACAGCATAAGAAGTGATCACAAAGTAATGATACATTCTACAAGTTACTCAGGAGTTCATAATCAAAGAAGCATATCCTCACATTCATGCTTATGTACACATAAAACATTGCATTATGAAAGCACTTACAGATTTCTGCCTTGACAATATTCTAAGGTTTATTTACAGTAAACTTTACCCTCCACAGATACCTGCTTTATTTACACCGAATTTTACAAACATCAATATTTCTGATGTTTATAGTAAACATTACTATGCATAAGTGAATTTTAATAGTATGTGGCTATTATATTATATTACAAATTTATTATATGTTATATTAATACAAATATTAAATGTTATAAAGATTTTAAATATTTTTAAATAAATTAAACTAGTAATTTTGAAAAGTGTTTAAAGACATGCCTCAAGTCACATGGCACAACTCCACATGAGATTCAGTTTTATGACTCCCCAGATTTCTTACAGGAGCACTGAAGTCCAGTGCAGAATCATCCAGTACGACTACTGTATGCCTAATCTGAGATTTCAAAACTAAACTCATTTCTGTCGAGTCTATTCCTATTTGTGGCAAGCGTGTGTTTCAGAGGAGAAATGCAATCCATAGGGCTTTCATGGTGGTGACTTTTGGATCCGATCACCAGGCCTTTCTACTGAAGCACCTCGGGTATTTGTGGGTTTTTATGTCAGTCTCTAGACCTGAGACTGTTTTCTCAACTGTGAAATGAAAATGTTATAATCTGCAATGTCACTGTTCACTTTCAGTTCAAAACACCCATGAAATATAGCCCAGATGACAGAAAAGCAAAGCTGCCACTCAAGTGGAAGAGATTTAATATTCCAGTTAAGTTTTTATCCAATGATGTTAGATTAATATTTTTCTTCAGATAATATTTTTTATTATATTTTTTCATATATAAAGGGAAAGCATACCATGCAAAATCAAGCTTACTTAAGATAAAAAAGCATAGATATAACCTAAATAACTCAAATCAAAGATAGAAAAAAATATTTCACTAGAAGATAAATTCATATAAGCTCTTTTCATACACTTAAACAATTACCTCTTTCTGTCTATAAATTTATTCAGGAAATAAAATGTCCAAATAAAAGGCAACTCAATAATCAATGCTAAGGACCAAAATCAACTTTTTCCAAAATGCAGCTACTATTTCCAGTTAAATATTCTAACAAAAATACCATTGCTACACTTATTTCAATAGCTGTCACGAATACAAAATAAAATATAAACTAACACATAAATACCTTGGCTTTGGTAATAATGTGCAACTTTTAATCTATGTGACTACTCTTTAAAGGGGGTATGGTATGCTAAGGGAGGGTATGTGTCTGTGGAGGGCCCAAGACATGTACATGTAGCTCTTAATTTAATCTAAAGTAGATTTTCCTATAGATCCAATACAGATTTGCAGTTATTAACCCAAACTAATGTTATGATTACCATAAAGGGCTGTGAACTATCACACTTCAGCAATAAAAAGATTTTTTATATCTCAGATAAAAACAAAACGACTTCAGGTATTTTTCTCAAGTGTGTGGCATAAAACAGACTAGATTAAGAGACACACATTGGATAGTTCCCTTCCTAAGATAATAAATTAAAATGTACAGAAACCACACTTTAACATATCATACTTACCAGCACATGGGAAGTTTCAGCAGTTTGCCATAAAGAGCAGTACTGAAAGAGGGAATCATCGGTACAGGTACGCAAGAAGATCCCCTACAATCCAAAGATGTCAGTCCTGCCTGGAAACCAAATATCTGAAACACACAAACAAACAAAAAAAGATCCATATGTTTTAATAAGCACTGGATGAAATACATCAGTTTCAATTTACTGTACAACAGCGGCACACTAAATGTGTTCCAATTCCTTTTCCACTTTCCAAACAACCAGCATTTTCTGTTATTCAATTTGACATTACCTAAATCAGAATTAAGAGATGTAAATAGTACATTTGTTTCACATTCCTGAAAGATGACTGTTTTAAATAATTTTAAATTCACACTGAAATTTCTATACATTATTTTCATTTGGTGTTTTATTGTCTCCTAGTATGAACATAATTTCCATGCACACAAGCAGCCATTAAAAATTTTTACATCGTAAAGAGTAAATTTAACAATTTAAAATAAGCATTATTTTATGAGTACAAAAGCATTAACAACTACAATCATCTTAAAAATGTTGTTTGCTTTCAACTTGCATTGTGCACACACAAAAAGAATCTTCAAATACATCCAAAATTGTTGCTTCTTTTCCCTTTCTTTCATGAAAATTATTGTGGTATTGAGGTTTTTATCTGAGCAAATTTGGTTCATGGCATATGGTTATACTTAAAATAAGCAGATCATACTCAAAAACTGAACAAAGCATTCTCTTAAATTCCTAAACAATCTATTTTTAAAATAATAATAACATCACATTTTATATTAAACAGTCAAGAACTAAATCTGTTATTTTTCTCAAGTTATTTCTAATAAAGAAGATAAACACATCAAACCAGAAAAAGTGAAACAAAGAAATACAAAACAATAAGTTAATGTTTTCGAATATCATGTGAAATCAGTTTAACCCATACATTTATCATTAGTATTATTTTTTATTCCCTGGGTTTATAAAGCATTCTGTTCTCTAGCTCTGCAGATTAATTAATATTAACTGTTAAGTTCTACCTTGAAACATGCTTTAAATTTCCTCATAACTAATTTTCAAGACAAAATCATTTTACTTAAAAATAATAATGATCGACTTCCTAAAAACTATTGTTACTTGTTTCAAAATTGTTTACTCCTATGTCAATCACCAAACTGACATACATCAAAACCTTTCTTCTAAAATTAACTTAAGAACCAAAAAAAGTATTAAGAACTACATTTTCAGAGGAAACTGCATTTCAATGAATTTAGCTAATTAGCATGAAGGAAAATGAAAGTGATGTACTTATTAATTTCTTTGAGTCCCACTATTGCCATTCTAGGACATTCACTGTACTGCCGGCATACAATAGTTGCTTTCAGGGGAAGTATTAACCTGCATATAGTAATATATTAAAACATATAAAAACTGAAGCAAAAATGTTTATAGCTATAATTCTGCTTAGAGATTATTTCCCTTCCCCGCCTCATTTTACATGTGCTCTTTAAAAGAAGTAAGTTGGAATTAACCCTAATGGTGGTGGATTAGGGAATTCGTTTTGTTGTTTTGGGTGACTCTAGGCTATTCTTTTAGGATGTTTTCACATGAAAGAGAAATGTAGTTTTACTGGTGGAAGGGTGGTGAGAAAGGTTGTTTCTTTTAATGATAATCAGGAAAATACTTTGGGGGGAGAAGAGCAAGAAAGGAAGGCGAAAATGGAAATTAAAGAAATTAAGGGTAAAATTGTGAGCTAATATGTGAGCCAAATAAAAGGAAGCATAAACTTGTAGTTCCTCCAATATATGTTTTTTTATGACATCACTTAATGACCTGCCCTTCTCAGACATGTAGACTGACCCTTTTCCCACATGTAAAATGAGGGGGTGGAGGTCAATAATCCCTACGCAATTTGAACTCTATAATTTGGTGGTCATTTCACATAGAAGTGTTCTAGCTCCATTCTTGTCCCCTGAAGATGTTTTCTTTCTAACATGTTTTTATGTTGCAGAATTATAGCTGTATTCATGAGGCTGTAAATCTTTTTAACGCCTACTTACTTCTAAACCCTCTAAATCCAGTCTCTATTCATGTGTTCCCTAAGATAAAAAGGAACTGTCAATTAAAACTAATGATAATCAAACTCTTCTGTTAGGGAGTTTCTTCCTGCAATAAGTAACCAAGTAAAGTAAAAAGACTAAAACCATAAGAGAATAATTTTCAATCACCCAAATTTTAACAATATGAAAGCTGTCATCAATCTTTCAAATAAATAAAATCTTTGGTAATATGTAACATATATTCTCAATTTTTTAAAAAGATCCATGAAAAATGGACAAATGATTTATAAAGACATTTCTCCCAACACACACACAAGTAACTAATAAGCACATTAAAAAAAAAGTTCAACACCATTAGTCATTTGGGAAATGGAAAGCAAAACCAGAATGCGCTAATACTTTACACCCACTTGAATGACTGAAAAAAATTCTTTTTAGGGGAAGAACAACAGAAACCAGAGGGAAAGGGAGACAGCAGTCAGTGTAAGATTTGAAAATAATTAATAATCTACAATCTATCAAGGGGCCACGAGTGGTAGGGGGCGGGGAAAAAGAGGAGCTGATCCCAAGGGCTCAATGGAAAGTAAATGTCTAGAAAAGAACAATGGAATATATGTATGAATATGTTGGATACAAATGATGTATGGATTGTAACAAGAGTTCTAAGAGCCCCCAATAAAATTATAAAAAAGAAAATGGAAATTTAAAAAAAATTCTTTTTAAAAAGTCAAGTCTTGATGTGAAAATAAAATGCAAAAATCGTTCATTACTGAATTGTCAAGGAACAACAATCCTTTGGAGTTGTATGAGACCCCAACAAAGTGATTTTTTTAAAATCTCCATACAACTAATATAAACGTTTACCATTTCACCTTATGAAAGGTTCCATAAGATCACTTTCAGATAGCCAGGGAAACCTGCATACTAAAATTAAAATAGGAGCACATGAAAACTTGAACACTAACGTTCGTAGTCATATTATTCACAATTGTCAAAAATGGAAATAATCCAAGGTCCAACAATTGATGAATGGGCAAGCAAAATAACCTGTGCCCACACAATGATGGACTATTCTTAATCAGGTCCCAAAAGGACCCACATACTGATTGATAACATGGGACAACAGGGATGAACCCTGAAAACGTTATGTCATAAAAGACCACCACTTGCGGTCCGATTCCATTTACGTGAAAGGGCCAGAATTAGACAAAGCCAAGGAGACAAATGTAGAAGAGTGGCTGCCAGAGGGGGAGCTGAGAGCTGGGAGCTGGGAGCTGGGAGGGAAATGGCCGGGGCTGCCCAAGTGCAGAGACTTTCTTTCCAGAGTGGGATATAACTGGCAGGCATGACAGTGGAGGTTACACAGTTCCGTAAATATGAAAGTACAAGAATGTCCGAAACCACTGACTTACATCTCCATAAATCTGTGTGTATATTAAAAAAAACAACTTTACAATATAGCTGAAGACAGATATAAAACGTTGCCTTGGAGTTCGTTCAAAGCCAAAGCAGGCCATGCGTTTCAGAGTAAAACTGTGCCCCATGGGGGTGCCAATGGCCCTGATCTTCAGAAGCCAACTGACTCTGAAGCCTTTCTAGCCTTTCAGCCAAGCACCTACCCTGTGCTGCCCCAGGGACTGCTACACCGAGCAGTGCCCATTTAGCTTGTTCAGCCCTCTCTACTAATACCTAGTGTCTGCAAGACAGAAAGAATTGAACAGCTGCCAAAGAATGAGCACTCGATCATCAGAATACTTTGGAAAGTTCGTGTATTGCCCAAAATTAGACCGAGTTCAACATTTGAGCTTATCATTCTTTAAGTACCTTTACTGAAATGCATTACTTATTATTTTTAAATGGAAGCAGAATTTGGCCAACCTTCTAATAATTCACTTTACACAAATGATTAGAGGTAATAAAAGAAATGTTTTCTTTTGTTATAAGAATTTAATATGAGGAAAATGGCTAAAACGCAAATGCGTTAAACCTTCTTTATAAAACATCTCACATAACAAGTTTATTTAAAGTATCCATATCAAAGTGCTCTTTCACACTGTTTACAAATAGCATGATCAACAAAAATGGCATATAAGACCTTCAAGTCATAGTTACCATTAACTTATAAGCATCAAGCTACTAAAAGCAACTAATTGAAGAAATGTCTTTAAAATCAGTACATTTATATTTTGTTTTTGTTGTGTTGAAATAATGATAAACATACCCAAATCATTTTAAATCACATTTCATGGGGTATAATTTCTGCAAAATTATAATTGTAGAAAAAATTTAACGTATTTGAAGCTACCAAAGATAACCAGACACTAACAAACATTCACATTCCTTACCTTAAGGTAGCAATGAGCATAGCAATAATGAAGCAGGTTATCAGAAGACTGGGAAAGGCTGCTGACCATATGTACCAACTGTTCAGCATACATTGGCACAGAGTGTTGCAGATTAATTTTATCCACCAATATCTGAATGGCTGGTAAAGGCCTAAGAGGCTGGAAGTTTGTAGTATTCATGAAGTTGCTCAAGTTCTAGAAAATAAGAGTGCTCATTTTGTATTTAAGGAGTAGACAAGGTTAATGTACAATGCCCTCTGCGCAAGCTTTAGACTTGCACAATTTTCAGAATATCAAGTCAATCTAGAAATAATGGTTTTCTTTCTTAACATTTCTCCTGCCTTAGCTAAATAAAAAAGAGCTTCCATTTTCTTTTCATTCTATTTTTCCACCAACTTTTTGAAGCCCTTCAAATAAATCTCTTATATAGTTCAGTGTGACACAAAGATTAAAGAATGTATATATAATGCAAAAATACCACTAACACCTTTCAGCTAAACCTCCTCCCTTTCTCCCTCCCCCCACCAATGAACAGAATCATATCATTGTCTCAGTATCTTAAAGGTATTTGCTTAAGCTCAATCATTCCAAAAGACTTGCCAGATATCTAGACCAGAGGATGTACAGTGGTACAGATAAGAGCTGGAAACACAGGGAACCCAAAACAGATAAACCCCTCAGGACCAATAATGAAAGTACCGATACCAAGAGGGGAAAGGGAAGGTGGGGGAACCGATCACAATGATCTACATATAACCCTCTCCCTGAGGGACAGACAACAGAAAAATGGGTGAAGGGAGACATCAGACAGTTTAAGACATGAAAAAATAATATTAACTTATAATTTTATGTATTTATAATAATGTATGGTTTTATATAGTTATAATAATTTGTACTCTTATTAATTTATAAATTATCAAGGGTTCATGAGGGAGGGTGGGGTAGGGAGAGGAAAAAGTAGGAGCTGATACCAAGGGCTCAAGAAGAAAGAAAATGTTTTGAGAATGAAGATGGCAACAAATGTACAAACGTGCTTGACACAACAGATGTATGTATGGATTGTGATAAGAGTTGTATGAGCCCCCAATAAAGTGATTTTTAAAAAGAAAGACTTGCCAGATAACCTAGAGCCAGTATTTTGTATTTCCCAACAGTTTATTTTATTCATATTTAACTATGAGACTAAGTGAGCTACTCCATTATCAAAGATATTCACACAGCTTGCAAGAGAGGAACATCCCTGACCCATCACCTGTCAATTAATAATTCAGAAAGTGAAGGCTCATAAAGTCCTTAAGAATCCCATTTGGTGTTTTAAGTTACAGAACCTTCCTGAGCTTACAAAAGAACACAAGTAAGTCTCAAACTATCCAGAGTAAATGCTCAGTTGCAGTCACATAATCCTCACCCTGTTCTAGCAATAGCTCACTTGAGGGGTCCGTTCCATCTGTGATTCTCAATGAGGAGGAGTATAACCTTCAATTTGAAGTGAAAATATATAGAATGAGCAGCAGTTTAATGGTTTAGTTTCTCCATCTTTCATTGTTACATTGAGTGAAATGTGGTACTGGAGTTTAATTGAATGGATTTTAGTTCAAGAGAGAAGAGAGTCAGAGAAAAGCGGAAGAATCTCCAGGAGGCAGACTGACATCGTGGCTGCAGCCAGGAGCTCACGCGGAATGACTGAGAGCATGATGCAAGAACAGACCGAGAGAGAGCGCCACACTGCTGAGGGTCAGACTTGACTCAACCCCTGACTCAACAGCAGCAAATGACGATGGAGTCCTGATGGCATAAGTGGTTAAGCACTTGACTGCTAATTCAAAGGTTAGAGGTTCAAACCCATTAACTACTCCATGGGAGAGAGATGTCACAACAGTCTGCTTCCATTAAAAATACCCTCGTCGGGCAGTTTTACGAAGTTCTGTAGGGTCACTATTAACCACAATCAACAGACATGGGCTTGGATTTTTTTGTTAACGATGGCTGCTGTTCATTAAAAATGATAAATCCATGGAGCATCTCACCACGTGAATGAGTCTGGTGGGCAGTATGCTGAGTGCAATAAATCAACTACAAACGGTCAAATATTGTATGGGACTACCGTTCTAAAAGGTCAATAAAAGATTTACACATAGGAACATTCTTTGATGATAACCACATATGGGAGGGAGTGAGAGAGAAAAAGCTCTAATTAGGAAGACCGAAGAACAATCAATGCATTTCCAATGTGGTGTTAACGAAGAAGAATGAAAAGTATCCCAGACTGCCAAAAGGTCAAGCAAATCTACCTTGGAAGAAGAAGGGCCAGAATGCTCCTTAGAAGCACGGGTGACAAGACTTTGCACTACGCATTTTGAACACACTGCTAGGAAAGACCAGTCCCTGGAGAAGAAGGGTCTCAGTGAAGCAGAAAGGCAGAGAAAGGAGGAAGGCCCTCAACCTGACGAACACGGTGCATTAACGGCTCCCACAGAGGGACAATTGGGAGGAGAAGGCGCAGGACCAGGCAATGTTTCTTTCTGTTGTGCACAGAGTCGCTATGAGTCAGGACCAATTGGATGGCACCTAACACACCCACACCACCACCACCAAGAAGGGCATATGCTAAATTTGTTAAGGAGAAAAACACAACACAAGATGGGGGAAGTGAACACAACATAACCAAAGCAAAGAAAGACAATGAAAGGTATGGAAGAGTAAAAGGCAACCGTAATAAATACCGTTAGATACACAATCTGGTAACAGCAGCAGTAACAAACAATAATTTACCAGCCCTACATAAGTAGTTTCATAGGCTGAACAGAAGAGGAAAGGTGTGTGGGAAAACACCCGTGTACATATACAGGATTCCTACACAGCTATTTACACAAGCTAAAAATATACCCATGAATATAAAGAACATACAGGGAGCAGTCATGAAAATCTCTTAGCCATAAGCACACATTTCCCAATACTGAGATACTGGACTTGAAGACTAGGGAACATAATCTCGGGACAACTAGGTCAATGGTCATAACACAGTCTATAAAGATAAGTTTCTCCATCCTTCTCTGGTAGATAGTGACTGAGGTCTTAAAAGTTTGAGTGGCTATACAAGTTACAACTATTGTTCTCTTTCCAACCAGAGCAAAGAACAGTGAGAAAACTAAAGAGTCAAGGACACAATTAGTCCACAGGACTGAAAACCCACATGATCCACAGCCTCCAGTAACCTGTAACTGCACAGTGTTCTGCTACCGACAACCACCACTCTGACTGGGTTCACCATAGGAAGGTACTAAATACAGAGTGAGAGAACCCGGTAGAACAAAATTCCATACATAAAAAGGCCAAACTTATTGGTCTGATAGAATGTGGTGAAACCCTTAGACACCTCCCTTTGACCAAAACCCGCTCTGAGAGATCAGCCTTTTAACCACATAAAAAACAGGGATATAAAGTGCTTCATCCACTTCTTTTCTTCTTTCAAAGACGCGAGCCCCTGCCTACACTGGTTCTTCTTCAGTGCCCTCACACAGAGACTTTCTATGCTATACAACTTTTCCCATTGTTATCTGCAGAAGGGACAGTCCAATGTCAGTTTCAACATCAGAGTGGGAATCGGAAGCAAAGTCAGGCAAAGCTCTAGGTCATGAAATACATTAAATCCAAAAGACTGAAAGATCCAATTAGCTACAAGTTATAAAAGAAGGGAACCAGTGGTTAAAGAGTGAAAGCCAAAACAGAAATTATAGAATATAATGGCATATTGGTTCATTAATTTCCTCCACTGACATTTTAACTAAAAGATCGCTCTATTCAACAATATGGTAACTAATTATGAGTGGTCATTAGAAAATATACCATAAGAAACTATCATATCATAATTCCTGACCCAACTTCCATAAGTGCTTATTTCAAGGGACAACACATTTTATCTCTGTAGTCATCAACCTTATATGGATATCAAAAGAAATATAACAAAGTAAATTTAAAACAAGGTAAACAAATTTTAAAAAATAAGGAGGAAAAACTTTTATATGTATAGAAGGCATACTCCGAAAGGAATACATTGTATATGGATTTTTTTTAATAAAAGATCACTTTTGAGGACTCTTATAACTCTTATAACAATACATACATCAAAATCAAGCGTATTTGCACATGTTGCCATCATTCTTTTATAGACAGTTACTTTCTACTGAGACCTTGGTATCAGCTCTTTTTTCCCCCTCGCCCTCCCCTGTACATGGATCTTAAACAAACTTTAAGTAAAAAGTCCTTATTACTAATAACAATCACCGAGTTCTGTTCAAAATGGTTTGCCTGTTATTATGTCAATGAATTTTCAAAGCAGTGCTAGGAGTTAGTTACTGTAGGATAACTGCTCCATGCCAGCAAGCTAAAGTAACTTACGCATACCACAAGACCACACAGGCAACCCTCCAACTCAGCACACTGAAGCTTTGGTGGAACATTGTGTCATAATCTAGCACAAGGAAAGCTAAGTGGTCTCAAGAGGAGCCTTCCTATCTTGAGGGAGGCTGCCATGAGACAAAGGAGCCCTGATTAGGTACATATTGGGCTGCTAAATGATGAGTCAACAGTTCTAATATCAGTCATATTGCAAGAGAAAGATATGGATTTTCTACTCCTGTTAAGATGTACAGTCTTGTTTTAAGCCTGACTTGAACAATTAAAACTTGTCAGCAGATTTCCCCCTATGAAGCATGCTAGACCTGATCTGGTATCCAAATTCTTACATATTTTGGGATTGTATTGTTTGGTTTGGTTTTTGATTGTCCATATTAGGGGGTATCCCAGGAGTGTTTTCATTGGGGTCACCCTCTTGAAGTTGCAGTATACGTTTTTTCATCTTGTGGTATATGAAAACCAGGACTGATGAAACCATGGAGTCAGCAGGTGGAATAAGGGTTTTGAGGGGAGGGGTGGTGGTGGCAGGGTGAATGGGTGATGATGCCAAGGGGTCCATACAGAAAAAGAATGTTTGGAACTGATTGGGATAGAAATGTACAATTCTGCTGACATGATTAAACAATGAAATTATTTGATATATGTATTAATCCCAAAAAAATCTAATAAAAATAATTTTAAAAAATATTTACAGCATTAGAAATGCTAGAAAGTAGCTCTGTTCTGCGCTATAGGATCTCTATGAGCTGGAATCAACACAAAGGCAAAGGCCATAGGACAATTTCTCATTAGTTTCCCTTACTCAAGTGAAGGGCAGTTTGCCACCTCATCTCCTCATAGCCCAACACCAGGCTAGAAAACTGTTCTGCTACAATGTGGAACTCGATCCTCACCAACCAGACACCCTCACCAAACACGGTGCAAGTCATTAAGCCCCTTTGGTTTTGGTGTCCTGTGGAAAAGGGTCATGGTGGGCCAAATCCATTACTGCTCTTACTCTTGTAAATTTACTCTGAATCTAGCTGAGCTTGTTCTGTCTGGAAAGCAAGGCTTAAAAGTATAATTGTCTTGAGTGTTGTCCAAATCCAGTACCACTGGGTCAATTCTAGTTCATGGAGACTACACAGGACTTGCGAGACTGTCCATCTTTAGAAGAGCAAACAGACTCATTCTGTCCCATGAGCAGTTAGTGGGCTGGCAGCACGGGCCCCGTGGTCAGTAGCCCTCTGCTTCTCCACGCCACAGCCCCACCAGGGTTCCTGACAGGTGCCACCATGAATACAGATGTTGACTCCTCAGCCCATGCTCAGCAGCATTTCTTCATACAACCCTTCACCAAAGTTTAATTTTTAAGAACTTTATAGAGATTTAAAATTACTTTCTAAGAATTAGCCATCATAATTGTTTTTATTTCATCAAGGACAACTATAGAAGCAGTTATTCTTTTATGCAATCATTAGCCTCTGACAGTACCACAAGAACAACAAATAACGCATATGCATGGGGACAGGGATGGTGAATATCAAAAGATACCTTTTCTCCCATAAGGACAGGTAGCAAATGGCCTAGCAAATTGAATTCAGCCATGTAAACTGTGCAGGTACACTTGAGAAGAGTAACACTTGTAAATCGAGTAGGGAGATATTGCTCAAGAGATGCCACTTCATCGGGATTCAGTAAAGTTTCGTTTTCATCCTTAATATCTAATATAAAAATAAATATTGCATGATAAGTCATTTTAACAATTTAATTAAAGAACATAGAAATTAATCAATTCTTCCCACAACTGAAGGTCAAATTTCATTTTTCTTGTGAACAATGAAGCAGTAACAAAATAATGTTTCTTTTAATAAAATAAAATTACACTATTCTAGAATGTGTACATATAACAAGACTTTGCTATAAAAGAAGGAATAGCTTCTTTATCTTAAAGCACTTTTAAGAAACTCATTTCATTCTTTAAAAGAGTAACCTATTGTCTTGATCAAAATCTCATCGATACTTGTGAAGAGAGAAAATCAAACTGGGAGAAAATATTTTCAATAGACAGATATATAGACACAGCTATCTTCACAAAAGGTGTATACACACACACACACACACACATTTAAAAACACCCTCCAAAAAAAATTAAGAAAGAGACAAACAAAAAGGAAAATGGGCCAAAAACACTTGAACAGATTGAAAACACTACATGTTGCCAAGCATTTAGAGCAGAGGTCAGAAAACTTTTCCTGGAAAGGCTAAAACAGAAAATATTTTAGGTTTTGTGAGTCAAAATGACTTGCCTCTGTTACTTAAGCACAAAAGCAGCCACCAACCACAATTAAACCAATGAGCATGGTTATGTTCCCAAAAAATTATATTCACAGAAATTATTATTAAATTTCCATATACAGTTCATATGTCACAAAATAAGATTATTTTCTGTAGGTGATGTAAAAACCAATTCTGGTTCATGAGCTGTCCAAAAACGGATTGGGGCAGATTTGACACACAGGAGCTTGCTTGACCCCAGATGAGAACTAAAATTCCTCCACACTAGTGTTAAAAAGTGCAAATGGTCCAGCAACTTGGAAAAACTATTTCAAAATATTTAATAAAATTGAGCATGTATACTTCTTCCATGCTTAGATACTAACAGAAAACACAAACATGCTTACCAAAAGACACCCTAGAAGGTCACTCAAATCCCTATCCAAATAGCCAAATCCTAGAAACCACTGTTTGTGAGTTGAACAGTGGCCCCCAGAAAAGTCTGTGAAAGTACCAATCAAAAGGTTATGCCATTTGAATGCGATATTATTTGGAAACAGATGGATTACCTGTACCCACCCATTGCCACTGAACCGAGAGCAACCCTTTAGGACAGAGTAGAACTAACTGCATTGTGGGACTTCCGAGAATTAACATCTGCCACACCTTATTCTAGAGAGTAGCTGGTGAGTTTGAACCACCCACTTTTCTGTTAGCAGACCACTGCACCACCACGGATCCTTTACTGGACTAACAATGGGTCCTAAATAACAACCAGTGTACTTAGAAACTAAAAAAAAAAAAAACTCGCTGTCATCAAGTCAATACCAACTCACAGGAACCCTATAAGACAGGGTAGAACTGACTGTTTCTGAGACTGACTGTTTATAGGAATAGAAAACTCTTTCTTGCACACAGTGGTTGGTGGTTTCGAACTGCTGGCCTTATAAATAGCAGCCCCAATCATGAAAACACAGATATACATGGAAGGCAATAGTGTGAAGGATGCAGAAATTGGGAGGTGCACAATGAAACTGGGAATGGTAACAATTCCCAGCAATGAGAACTGCCAACAATGCTAACAATAGACAAGGATTCTTCCCTTGAGCCTTCAGAGGATGCCTGGATTTCTAGCTTTCAGAACCAGGAGAATACATATATCTGTGGTCTTATGCCACCCAGTTGCTGGTACTTGGTTGCTGCAGCCTTAAGAAACAAAGACACTAAATACGTTCACCATCAACAATAGAACGGAAAAGTAGGTCTATTCACACAACAGAATGCATTTAAAAAATGGGAATTATCTATAACTATAAAATAGAAGTGAATTTCATAAAAATGTGAACTAAAGCCTAAAAAAGAGTGCATACTGTAATTTCGTTAAAATATATACGAATATAAGCAAAATTAAATCAAATCTATGCTATGAGAATACTGGTTACCATTAAGGTCAGGTAGTGAAAAAGAGGGCCAAAGGAGACTTCCTGAATCTGATATTGTTCTACTTCTGAGTCAGTTAGTGATATGCACATGGTTAAGTTTGTGTAATTAACAGAATTAGACTCAGGTTTTATGTACTTTCCAATATGTACACGTCACTACATTAAAAAGCTAAAAATGCAGAACTCCTGCTACATAGAAAATGTGTGTGTACACCTTTTTCCCCCCACATACAATGCACCTGGGTAATAATACATCTATGCATATAACCCACATATTACATAGAAAACATATGCAAACACATTACTTAGATTAAAATGCTGCATGCAAATGTAAGGTAGTCGCCAACTTACACAGCTCTGATATACACACATTTCAACAGTCCTGGTTTAGGTTAAAAATGCCAATGCATAAGCAACATGATTCAAATTGCAGTTAACCCTGTACATAAAATGTTATTGCATACAGCATAAGCTTTGCTGCTAGTCTTTCAGTCAGTAAATCACTAAGTGAAAAAATAGTATTATCATCATTGACCACTCATTTCGCGTCTTTTAAAATGTGTCTAGAGATTAGTTACTATGCATCTGTTACTTAAATCCATGCACAGACAACAAAACATGTCACTGCGTTGCATCCATATATCTCATGAAAAATTCACATGACATTTTATCCCCCAAAATGGAAATCAAAGTCAAGAATTGGCCAAGTTCAGTAAAAAAACAAAAAATAAGGTTGCTGGATGTGACATTTGAATTGCACATAAATGGAACCAACAGTGAAAATACTGCCATTGCACTACCCCTAGAGAAGAATATAGCCCCAGGGAAATCTGTTTATTAGCATAAATCAGGGGGGGAAATACTGTAATAAGAAAAGACAAAGATATCCCAGAGGAAATTAACATTAGTTCTAAAAAAGTTCACATTAAAGGAACTCACAATGTTTTTCATGACCTTTAAAGGGAAACATAAAGTGTGAAAGCTGATCCAAAAAGAAAGGCATATGACAAATTGCCAGGGCATACAAAAGAGAGGGCCCCCTGTCACCTGTTATGTTTTAAAATGAATGAGTTACAGCTAAGTATCACTCAAATGATTCTTAATATTTTTTTTTATTCTTAAGATTTTTATGAGCACAATTTAATGATTACTTTTACTTTTTTCTTTTCTTTTTTCATAACTTCCGTAAGGAGCCCTGGTAGCATAGTTGGTTACATATTGGGCTGCCAACTACAGGTTATCAGTTCAAAGCCACCAGACATTCCTTGGGAGAAAGACGAGATTTTCTACTCCTGTACAGAATTATGGTCTCAGTAACCCACAAGAGTGGTTCCACCCTGTCCTTCCAGGTCACCATGAGTTGACATCAACTCAATGGAAGTAAGATATATTTATAACTGACAGGTTTCAGCTTCCACAGTCCTTTTAATGGTTACAAACTACCAAGCAAGGTGAGAACCATCTTCATGTGAAAGTAGAGTTGGCCAGCTGACTCCTCATATGCATAATTTTTGAGATGATGAACAACTTCAAGTACAGATGAATGCACTTCATATTGTTCTTTATTCTATACACAAACAAATAAGGAATGCTGATGGCATATTGGGGTATACAACAGGCTGCTAACTGAAAGGTCAGGGGTTCAAACCCACCAGCTGCTCCATAGGAGAAAGATAAGGCTTTATGTTCCTATAAAGATGTACAACCTCAGAAACCCCTGAAAGCAAGGTAGTTCAACTCTATCCTCTAGGGCAGTGGTTTTCAACCTTCCTAACGCCATGACCTTTTAATACAGTTCCTTGTGTCGTGGTCACCACGCAACCATAAAATTATTTTCCTTGCTACTTCATCACTGTAATTTTATTGTTATGAATCGGGCAACCCCCGTGAAAGGTTCGTTCGACCCACAAAGGGTTCGCGACCCACAGGTTGAGAACCGCTGCTCTAAGGCCACCGTGGGTGGGAATCTACTTGATGCCAATGAGTTGAGCAGAGTTGAGTTGATTCCAAAAATACAGTATGAGTCCAGTGGAGCAGAGATTGATCATCATCCTGGAGAAAGCATTCTCCTCTTCTTTCCCTTAGTAATAAAACCCTCTGAATTTCAACTAAATATTTGGGCTCTTTCAAGAGACAGTATTTTCCATCATCCCCTGCAGCCAGGGAGGTAAGTCATGGTCAATAGGCAACAGAGCCATTGCTTTAAAATAAAACTGCACACTTAACCATGGCAATGAGCCAATACAGACTATGCAGATGAGATATAAGCTATCTTAAAAAGTTGCAGACTAACAAGAGAAATTTGGATCTACAAAAATGTCTTAAAGCAGAGTCTCCCTATCTATCTAAAACTTTTCAGAGAGTTGACGGAAGGCTCACTCTTATAGACTCATCAAGGGTGGGTTCCTTTAAAAATTATTCAACCATCACTTCATAACCTAAATAAAATGGCTTTCCCCTCTCTTCCTCACTTCTGGCACACTCTTTTAGTTTTCCCTCATAGTACTTATCAATGCCTAACCCTGTATCAAATTAATTTGTTTCCTGTTTGCCTACCCCACAAAGATTTACAAAGAAGACCAGAATCCTCACACTGGACCAATCGGTAACAATATGAAAAATGCAGAAAAGGTTAAGTTGTCAAGGATTTTGTCTTGCTTGGATCCACAATCGATGCTCATGGAAGCAGCAGCCATGAGATCAAAAGACAGGCTGCATTAGGTAAATCTGTTGCACAAGAACTCTTTAGGATACTAAAGCAAAGATATTACTTTGAGGACTGAGGTGCACCTGACCAAAGCCGTGGTATTTTCAATTGCCTTGGATGCATGTGAGAGTGGGACACTGAATATAAGAAAGACCAAAGAAGAATTAATGCATTTGAAGTGTTGTACTGGCGACGAATACTGAAAGTACCACAGACTGCTTAATAAGCAAACCTATCTGTCTTAGGAGTAATATGAACAGAGTGCTCTTTAGAGGCAAGGATGGCCAGATCTCGTCTTTCGTACTCTGGACATTTGGTAAGGAAAGACTAGTCCCTGGAGAAGGACATCATGCTTGATAAAGTGGAGGGGCAGGAAAAAAGAGGATGCCCTTGTAAGATGGGTTGACACAGTGGCTGCAACAATGAGCTCAAGCACAGGACATTATGACGGGGCACAGGACCAACAAAGCAGTGTTTCTTTCTCATGTGCATGGATTCACTATGGGTCGGAACCAACTCAATGGACCTAAAAACAACATAACTTTGTATAAATTACTTAAAGAATACATAAAAAGACATTACAGACAGGCAAAATATAAAAGTAAGTTGTCAAAAATGATAGAAATTGGATTATGTAATCTTTCACTCAACTAGCAAGATTCAAATTTTAGCCCCAAACAAACCTGGTTTCAGTCTGCTATATGGTTCATATTCATGTTCCAAGGCACAAACCATCATTTTCAAAATCCTATGCACTGCACTGCTATCAAGGCGTAAATCAAAAGGACCTACGACAAGATTTTTGATAGACTTCTCCTGAATTGTTCCCAAATCCTCACTTTTCCCTGAAGAAAAGTCTTGTTGAATTGCAGAACCTAGAAAAAGTCAGATTTCATATTAATATTTTATGCATTGCTAAGATATACCAACCATATATTTTAATGTCATTCTTCTCCCATGTTTTTAACTTGTAACTGAATTCTCTAAAACCAATTCTCAATTATCGGGATGCACAGTTCTGTTGATCTGTAATTTTCTCTATACAATAAGATTTTTATTTTGGGGGCGGGGAGTACATGGTTCCTGTTATCTATTTAATGTTATAAGAAATACAATAAAAGCAAACTATTCATTCTTCAAAACATATTCTACAATATCTAATTGACTTACAGTCAACAATTCTATGTGAATTAGAAAGAAACACTTTGGATAAAGCTGAATTTTACTTCTCAAGTATGTACTGACTAATTCTGAAACTTAAGGGGTTTGGGCTAACATGTAAGCATAGATATCACCAACATACAATCAAACAAAACCCATTGCCATTGAGTCGTTTCCAATTCATGGTAAACCCACATTACAGAGTAGAAATGCTCTACAGGATTTTCTGGGGTATGACTTTTCCAGAAGCAAACTGCTTCCTGGTAAGTCTAAATGGCCAATCCTCCAGGTGAGAAGCCAAATGCAAGTCCCTTGTTTCACCTAAGGACCTTCAGTATATGAAGAGGCTTTTACAAGTTCATGGAAAAAACAAAATTAAAAGAAAATGGAATACCTCCCCATCTACTTTTTGAAGCCCCCTTAAATAAGCTATAAGCTTATTCAAAGCCATAAGAAAGCATGAGATTATCTCAGAAGAAAATTAAGAGAAACATGATTCTAGGTATTAATCACTGAGAATATCAACATTTAGAAGTCAAATATAAACCAAAAAATAAGGCTGAAAATTAGTGTTCTTTCAGTATTCATTTAGCAAAATTTAGTAATCCTTCAATAACAACTCCTGCATGAAGTCTTTATTATCTTGACTTCTCATATCTATTTATAGTACAATATTTAACATGCGGTTGTTGTTAGGTTTCACTGAGTCTGATGACACTCATAAGGCTCTAAGTACAACAGAACCCAACACTGTCAGGTCCTGTACCAACCTCACAATCATTACTATTTCTGAGCCCATTGTACGGTGGCTTATATGGTGTTGTGACGCTAGGAGCTAACCCACTCGTGTTTCATATAAAAGCAGTGTTACATCTATGGTGGACCACTTGCTAACATGTTAAAATATGAATATAATAAAAAAATAAGATTGGAGGCTATAATCTGTAGAAGTTATTTCTACTTTTTATTTAAACCAAACATTAAAAAATAATGATCTATATAAGCCCTGAAATGTACTTAGCACAGAAAAAGGAAACATTGATTCCATTTGACAATCTAATGTAATACGAAGGTGAATGTTAAGGATACAAATTGGGTCTGTTCCTAACTTTATCTTTACAAATTTTCAGATTAAGATAATCTAATGTAATACGAAAGTGGATGTTAAGGATACAGATTGGGTCTGTTCCTAACTTTGTCCTTAAGAATTTGCAGATTAAGATAATCTAATGTAATACGAAAGTGGATGTTAAGGATACAGATTGGGTCTGTTCCTAACTTTGTCTTTACAAATTTGCAGATTAATCGGATCAAGTAGTTAGGGCTTTTATTTAGCCTTTAGTGAAAGAAAAAGTGCAAAGTCTTTCAGTAATTTAAAAGTTGCATGCAAAGGTGATTGTGATGAAGAATTTATTAGGGTTGGTTCAATCATTTCAAGTGAGAACAAATTTAACTAACATCAAAGTGGGGATTCAAAGATGGACACACCCTGCTCAAAGAAGGTGATGGCCCCTCACAAGTGGCAGCCACATACACCACTTTGGACTGTATGGCTCTCCACAATCCTGCCATAAATCCAGCCCTTACATCTGGCTCCTAACAGGGCTGACAAGGCCTCTCCCAAATCTCGCTTTCCAGGGCTTTGACCCACAAGCTTTCCCATTCTGGTTACAAATGAATCACCCAAAATATATAAACCTTGAGCTTTTCTTACTTCACTTTGCCAGCCATGACAGACTGGCTCAAAACCCTGAATTAAAAGACAAGTAGTCATGAGTTGGAATAGACTCTAAGGGAGTGAGTTTGGGATTTTGTTTGGGATTTTGTTTGTTTGTTTTTTTAGTTTTAGGAGTTATCCATAAATTGAACATTCATAACCTAGAGACTGTCTATACTGAAAGTTTAATCTTTGGTACATATAAGAATTCAAGTTAATTACACAAAATACCTTTCAGTCTTGTGCATAGCTACTCATGGTGGCCATATATTGAGTTTCCAAAGATTAAAAATGCCCAGAATCTAAGAAAATCATATCATGACATTGAATTTAAACTACAAACAGTACCAGAAGATAAATTAATAATGTACAACCAATCAAGAAGCAACTAATTCTAACTAAACTTTGCGTCTGTTGTGCAGGAAAAAGTAAACATCCAGGAAAGAGCCAGTACCTATGCCTGTCATGTTTTCCATTGTATACAAGTAATCCATGTAACAAGCCCCAAACCTTTGCATTCCAGCTATCTCAGTGTATGTCTCCTGCCAAGGCAAACAGAACAAACATTAAATATGAAAGACAAAAATTTTGAGTTTAAATCTCATAGGTCAAAAATCAGTCATATATTCATAAGCATAATGCACATTAATTCAAAGAATTACCAAAAACACAAGAAATTAGCCAAGAATTCACTTCTAACACAGGTAACTTTACCTGTATTATAGATCACACAAAATAACATCTGTATCTAGTACACATTTTGACCACTTCATCAATAATGTTTGGTTGATAAACTAAATGAAGTAGATAACAAACTTTTGACCTTTATTACCATCACAAATCTATCTAATACACTAAAGCTTCCAATATATGTTATCCTTAAATAATTTACCACCCTTACATGAAACAGTTCAAAATCTTATGGTATATTAAACTATTCAAAACATAGGTTAATTAGGCAGGTCAACATTAAATTCTTCCAACTTTAAATTAAATGTTACTAAATTTAATTAAATAAAAATAAAATTAAATATCACTAAAAAATGTGTTTAGAAGCAAATGATTCTAGTCCATTAATCTTCAGCAATCCTTTTGGAATATTTCACTTTATTCCCAAAAGAAACACGTGATTACCTCACATCAAAAAATCAAATGATACTAAGAAATACAAATAAAAATTAATTTATACATCTCTTCCCATCAAGCCCACATCCCCCAAATTAACCAATATTAGTAGAATTCTGTATGTTTCTCCATGAAAAGTTCAAAGATAGAAGAGTGATAAATTGTAGTTGCATACTACATAAAAGTAGAGTCTCACTGCGCATATCTCAAAGCTTCCTAAACACAGAAGCTACTCCAAAGGCATTCTAAGTAGTATCCCATTGAAACTTAGCATTCAGGAGACATTTGAGAGGAAAGATACGTCTTCAAACAGGCCCATCTAAAATTTAGGTTGTAAATGGAGCCTACCGTCTGGCTCAAAAGTGTATTATTCTCTGACCTGGTGATGAGCAGCATCTAAGATAAATTCTGCACGTGTGCCATTATTTTCTGGGCTTCGGTAATCAAACAATGAATTGGTAAGGTATGTGAAACCTTTTGTACTCAAATCTTCACCACAAATGAAAAAACAAGCTTCCTGAAAACAAATGCAAAAAAATTAACAAGTGAAAAAGCTCATTACACTGTTACAGAAAATAAAATCTTGGTAGGTTGTTTTTTATGAAATTTGGTGGGGGGAGGGGGGCAGTTGGGGATTGAACGAGGTTTAACACATATTCAATAGTCAAAAGAAATCACAACCCAAAAAACTCAAACAAAAAATCACTACAACTTAAGTTTGTATGGTTAAAATGAACTCAAATGGGCTATTATAAACAAGAAAAGAGAAACAACCAGAAAGTACCGCAAACTAACTTTTCAAATGTTAAAAGCTACCAACTTTCCATATTTCCCTGAACTCTACAACTTGTAATAGGGAAAAGCAAGTAACCTCCTCTCCTATGCCCAGGACAAATATAGTCTAACACATTTCACACAATTAAAGATTTCAGTAAGCCCATCAACATACACGCATCCTAT